TATGTTTGGATGGCTGCACCACAATTTGAATGTACTGTAATGCCACAAAATTGTAGAATTACACATGGTTTAAGAGGTTAGGGTGGAGATCGGTGGCAAAGGGTTTAGGTAGCATGTGCAAGGCCCTGAACCCAGTCCTCAGCACTCAAAAATGAGGTGGAAGAGACTTAAATTTTACATTGTATACATTTTCCACAATGAAAAGAATGGGAAAACTCAATATGGTAATGTTATTTAAGTTTTACCACAATCAAAAAAATAAAACGGGATGGATTGCAAGGGATGAATTTGGCAAGACAAGTAGACAATGACCTCATTTCCTTGATTGTCCACATAAATAAAGCATTATGTATAACATGGGGAAAAAATTCATTTGAAACGGAAATATTTGTCTATCTTTAACCTATAAGCGTTGAATCACTCAATTTCATTTTAAAAAATAGTAACAACATGTGTTTGCTAAATTTATTCAATTTTATTCAACATAGATTGTTTAAACCATTTAACAGGAAAATAAGTATCCTAACATCCTATTGTCTGTAGACAGTATACTTTAATTCCTAGCTGTTAAAATGTTTCTGTTTAAAAGTGGGACTATGAAATAATAATAAACTGCTTGCAAATAGCTTAAAAATTAAATGTTTCAAAATCACTAAATATATCAATTACATCAAAACTAGTTATGTGATGCTCATATGAAGAAACCCTAAGGTATATACAAGGTTCAAAGTGAAGACGATGGGAAAAATGAACTGTGATCTGTTCGTGGTGGGGTACAGAGAGGTGGCAGTTCACTTCTCAGAAAATAAAAACACCTTGATATGTAATCTAAGGTTTCTCCCGATCTTTTACCATTGTCAGCTCACCCTGTATTTTATTTTTCATTTTATTGTTCTAGGGGAGAATGCCTGAAAGTAGGAAGAGATGATAGGAATAAACTAGCTAACAAAAGAAAAAGAAACTATCGTTCATTGTGCTCTCCTTACATTGAACCCGAAGGGTATCAACATGAAATGCTAACGACCCCACAACTAAATTCCTGATCTAATCTAATGTAAGTGACCAGGAAACTATGGATAAATTATACCTGCAAGCTGAATCCTTCAGAAACCATTGACTGTAATACAGCTCAGCAGCGAAATACAGAGACATGAACCTTGGTCCCAGGGTGTAACAGTAAGTTGTTAGACAGCTTTCTAGTCGAAGAAGTGAGGCCACTAAAGAACTTTAAACCTAAGTGCTCACTAAACATAGACAACGCCAAGGTTTTCATGCTGCACTGCACAGCACAAGGAGATAACTATGTAGTCTGCTGAAAACCAAGGGTTTAAAGGTACAACTTCAGGGCCAGGAGAAGGCTCACTGGGTAAAAGCACTAGCTTGCCCCAAATGTCACAACCAGAATTTGATCCCCAGGAGCCATATGTTGGGACACCCAACTCTTTCAAATTGTCCTCCTACTTACATACCCACACCCACACGCATACAAAATAAATAAAATGGAAAAATATTAAATAAAAGATACAATTTTACAACAGTTTCTTGAAAAAAATAGAATAAGAAACTAATTTAGCTGTGTGAATACCAAAAACTCCTGTAAAACAGTCGTTATTCCAAGATCCCAATGGCAAATGTGAAGGACTCTGAATTGGACCATTTCAACTATATGGCCTCCCTATAACCATAACAATGTGCACACGCACACACACACACAGAGTCAATCATTTTGACTGATTCTTGGCAAGTGCTCCCAGAACCAGATTATAAAACATTAAGCTGGGACAATCCTATGTTCCCCCTCATGCACATTATTCTAAAAAATTCCTCTTTAGTTCTCTGCAATCAAACTCTTTCCAAAAATAAGTAAATAAATAAATAACAGAAAACACCTGGATGCTAGGATATGTAATATACACACTCAGCAGATTTTCACCCCAAAATGTGGCCTCACTCTTCTGGAGGCAAAAGATCTCCATAACCCCCTCTTCTGCAGTTACCACTTTCCCTGAACCGCAGGCCTTCCTGACTTGCAGCAGGGCCAGGCCAGATTACGGTTATGTGGTAGATCTGTCAGGCAAGTTTTGACAGAGCCTCAAAATAGACCCTGGACACCATCCAGGGAAAGTGCCACTCAGGAGTTCCAGCTTCACCACACTTGAGCCTCTCAGTAGTTATTTCTCTCTGGTCTCTCATTTCAAAAGGACAAAGGCTCCTGGACCTCACCCTAGGCATGAGTCACCCATAGAACTTCAAATTTAAAGTTTGAAACTCCCTTGGTCTGCTCACCAACTCTGCAGAATAAAGTCTAAATCTATACCTACTTCCTGCTTTGACAAAGAATCCACCAACAGTGCTCTGGATTGCAAAGAAATTTCTGGCTCTCGGGTTCCATCATGTATTCTACTTTAAACAGACAAACTAGGATGTGGAAGATGAAGAAACGGTGCGTCATTTCTTTCTCCTATGACTAATATCCGTTAACTTTAGCAGAGCAAAAACATAAACTATACAAAAGTTGTTTTTTATTTTTTGTTGTTTTCTGTATGTAGCCCTAGCAGGCCTAGACTTCACAGAGATCTGTCTCTGCCTCCCAAGTGCTGGGATTAAAGGTGTGCACCACCACACCCAGCTATATAAAAGTTTTCAATTAACAGAAAACATAAACTATGAAACAAGCCTATAAGGTACAGCCATTTTACCAAATATAAGTGGTTTGTGTTTGTCAACACCAGATTTCAACTATGGTATTTTGATATTTACCAGTTCAAATTAATCATATTCCAAATTATCTTAAGTTGACTTATAAAACACATTTGCAATTTTATTTGAGACAAGGTCTTATTACATGCTGTTAGACCATGGTAGTCTCAAACTCTCAATCACCTGGCTTAGCCTCCCAAATGCTAACAACAGATGCATGATATGAACCCAGTTCACAATAAAGTAATTTTTAATTCTTCCTCCTCTTGTGGCTGAGAAAACATTAGCTTCTATTATAAAATAAAGCCTAGTATAAAATGAATTTCTCATGTTCACAACCTGAGTATCAACCTCACAGTCATATATTCAAAACTACATTCCACAGATATATTTATAAACTGCCAAAAACTTGTTTAAAAGTTTTTTTATAGCACTGTTTATAGAAGAACAAAAATGATCTAATGTTTACTAATAGGGAATTAGTAAAACTATAGAAAATTAATAAATCCAGTCTTTTTACAGTAAAATGAGATTGGAGTAGGTGCCTATACAGAAAAAAATATCTCAGCTACAATTCAGGTAAACAACACTTGTAGACACATGCAACTGTGTATGTACCTGAGAATTTAGAGGAGGAAACAAACAAAGAGCCCATTAACCATGGTAGCTTGGACAGGAGAGAGGTGTATGGGAAGTCAAAAGTTTGTGACAGATTCTTTTACATGTTTTATCAATCTTTGAAAGGTTTACAAATGTCACTGAGCCCACACCATCAGCATTTCTTTCTCTGTAGGTCATTGTCCCTCTTTCCACCGTCTCCATTTTTACCTATTTCTTTCCCTACCTCTAGACTAAAACAAGAGCACACGCAGGTTGCAAGTCTCAGTGGCTGTCCAAGAAAGCGCATTCTCTCTTAGCTCTCCATGCCAACCACAGAATAAGTAAATAACTGAACAAACGAAAACATATAGCACATAAGCCCAGTTTTATAATTTATGGTTTTAGTATAAAATATAATTGTTTTTAAGTCTAGACTAATTTACTGTTGACCAAAAGTTTGAAAGGTTAAAGTGCAAAGTGCAATGTCAGTCACTCGTTTCCAAGATAGTCCTACTATCTATTAGCTTTCAGGGGGGAAATGGAGAAAAGGACTAAGATAGTTTACTCACAGAGAAAACCCTGCTCTATTCCTTTCCTTCTAAGGTTTTAAAAGCTGAGCTTTGAATGATGATCAGAGTATTCTTTATCTGCAAGCTTGATAAGGTAGTATGTCTTCCCAGGTAAGGGATTGATTCCATCCGCTCTCCAGACAGAAAACAACTATCTAAAAGGAAAAGACTACAAACCACATTGTTTTATAGGGACAATAGATAGCACTCCTTGAAAAAGGACAGAAGAATTTTATTTCCTTTTAAACAACCCTCACCAATGCTCGCACCATGCATAAGAAGTATCACCCCACCTCATCATGATATCATCAGTTCTGCTCCTTTTCACTCTAGGAACAGGCTAGTAATTCACAAAGACCTTTGCAAGAAATCACTCCCTCCTTCTTCCTAAATTAATGAAAAAAAATTGTTTTTGTATTGTAAAAGAGAGATACCTTGCCAAATATATTTTCTCTTTTCCCTTTATTATGGAGATGCTTTAATCCTAACCTAAAAAGAGTTCCCTTATGTATTTATGCATCAAGACTGTTCCCGATGAAGGCTTTCACAAGGGATTTTCCAAAGGGAATCTCTGTTTACAAGGAACAGAAACTCTTAAGTCATCATCTTATCAGCTGGACAAAAACAAAAAGCAACATTAGGGAACACTCTGAATATAAGAATGGATACCCAAAGTGGAAAAAATGCCAAAATGTAGCCAAAGAATTAAAGGAATGTCTGTCTTAAGGAACAACAATAAAGTAAACGATATTACTTTCCAATTCTAACTGCCAATCAAAGTAAAATAGGCAGGTCTCTAAAAACAAAAACAACAACAACAACAAAAACAAAAGAAACCGGGTAAACAAGGTCATCACTATCAAGAACTATAGGATTCAAAGTTATTTTGCATCTCATTTTGACAGACTAAAATGATCAAATTACACTGCTGCAATAAAAAGTTATTTCTAGTTTGAAATTAGTCAATTCTAAAAATAAACCAAAACTTCAATACACAATTCCTTCCAGAACAGAACAGAAGTTAGTATAGTCTCATTCAACATTTTTCAGGATAGAATGCCAAGTGCTACAGCTTCCCACTCAAAAAGCTATTTTATATAGAACAGACTCTTCCACAGTACTTTTTCGTACCTTAGTGTTGGTAGCTCTCCTTCCCACTGACATTTATTTGGCATCTAAACCCCTTCATTTGTCTTCCCACATCTGGTTAAAAAAAAGGGGGGGAGGGGGTTAAATTGCAGCAGTCCATTTAGTAACTAACAAAGAATTATAAATCAAAACATTCTGCAAGTTTTGAAGCTTTATTTCCATACCGTAGTGCATGACAATAACCACAGAGCAACAAACAGAACCAAACATTATACATCCCTCGATATAAAAGGAGTAAAAATTATCTAATTAAATGGGGAGCGACAAACTTGGCTTTCCACTATTTCAATGTGAAGATCTGTATCAATGATTCACACATTGAGTGTGACCTAACTTCCTACATGAATCACACTTTCCGAAATTCTTATTCGGTATGAGTGTATTAAATACGAGGTCATCGTTTCTCTGTAGTTGTTAAACAGAGCATGATGTTGGTTAAATCGGGCTAACTCTGCAAGACATTCAAGCCATGGTAAACCTGGCCAACTCTCCCTGCAACATTATGCATTCTCCAGTAATTGCAGCTTTTCACACCTACTCCTGGAGCACACACTGGGGGGGGGGGGGGCACACGTCAAACACTGATTAAGAATGTATCATCCATACCCTGCACTCCATCTCCTCGTTTCCTTACTGCATCTCTTCCCATTGTGATAACACAACACAAATAGCAGTCACTCTGTTATCCTTACACAGTTTTGAGTCAACCTACTGTACAAAAAACTGTGTGGCAAAAATGCTGAGTCACTAAATGGAAAAATAAAGAGCTACAAATAGTGGAAGTTTAGGATGCCCTTTAGCCGTGTTCCAGCATTTTGTTTGTAAGTCTCGGGGTGGGGAAAAAAAAAAAAAAAACACAACACATAAAGCAAACATTTGAACTTTTCTCCTTTGGGTTTTCTTATGTCCCCTGCTTCCTGCTGGATATCCACAGCAAAGGCAAAGCAGGCCTGGCTGGAACTATGGAACTCCACTCCACAATGTGGGTGTAAATAACGCCCCGTATTAGTCAAGCATTAACCCTGACCGTCCTGCCCTGAGCCGGTTAAGCCCGCGCTTCAATTCAGATCAAGAAGGAAGCAAGACAAGGGGGGAATCTCATTAAAAAAGCTACGCCCTCCACCGGCTTGACACCGTTCCCGGGGTGGCGGCTCCTCCCGGGACAGACTGAGGACAGAGTCTGAGGGAGTGTGGCGCTGGGAACGAGCAACGGGAGCTGGGGCACCCAGCTGTCCCAAGTGATGCCCGGTCCAAGGGGCGTAACCCCTTCTTCCCTCGCGGGGGGCCGGAGAAGCGGGAGCCGGCGACCCGCTAGGCGACCCCAGTCCGGAGCCGCCCCGGGGCAGCTCCCCGGGACAGCCGGGCCCGCCGCCTGCTCTTACCTGCGTGTGGAGCGGGCTGAG